TCTGTATTTGTGTTCAATTTAAGGCCAATAGTAATGCCATTAAGTCTTCGGTCGCTTATTACTGACCATTTGTTTATGTCTTAAGCATTACCCAAAGATTTCACATCAAAACTATATTAATAAATATAACTTATCTTTAGATGTGGTGACCATTGAGAAGACCGGAGACTTCTTCCGACTCTTGTACGACATTAAGGGACGCTTTTCTCTGCATAAGATCACTGGTGAAGAGGCGAAGGTATTACTCATCTGATCCATTGTTTAGCGAAAAGGAGTGTTTAATTAATATTTTGCATTTGAAATGTAGTATAAGTTGTGTCGCGTGAAGAAGGTGTCGGTGGGTCCGAAAGGGATTCCCTTCATTGTGACCCATGACGGCCGCACTATCCGATACCCGGATCCGTTGATTAAGGTTCACGACTCGATTCGTCTGGATATCGCCACCGGAAAGATCTTAGACTTCATTAAGTTTGAAACGGGAAACCTCTGTATGGTTACGGGTGGACACAATTTGGGTCGCGTGGGGATCATCACGAGTCGGGAGAGACATCCGGGAAGTTTCGATATCGTGCACGTGAAGGACTCCCAGGGACACACTTTTGCCACCAGGTATGACACTATTTGCCAACCATTCCCTCCCCCTCTGCTGTCTATTATCTGATGAGTTTTGTCCAAATATATTGATTTATTATATGATTATTGATTAGTCTTTCTGATGAGTAGTTTCTACTCTGACTTTGAAATGGTATTTGCGATGCATTTGTTAACATAAGTATGTTTTGTATGGATGTCTAGATTGGCGTATATATTCGTGATCGGAAAGGGAACCAAACCCTTCATTTCATTGCCCAAAGGAAGAGGTGTCCGATTGACTGTCGCCGAAGAGCGTGACAAACGATTGGCCAATAAAGCCCATTAAGTGAAGCGCTCCAGAAGATAATAATGTATTGATTACTATTACCATAAAAATCGAAAATAAATTTTTTGGAAATAAGGATTGTGTTTATTATTTGCACTTAATTTAAGACACCATTAAAAGTTAAATACAGTATTTAAGGCACGCGATAATGGACTCAATAAATAGCGGTTATCAGTTGCTGAGCGTTATATGAAATCTAACACTAGTCTACGGCTCGGAATTAAATGTTTTGAAAGCACTTCTAACAAGGATTCAGTGGCGCGTCGAAAATGGTTGAACAAAAGCAAAGCAGAGTCTAATTGATTGATTGCTGAGATTCCGTATTGCCGTCGGTCTCGTGGACCAGAGGTATGGATGGTTCGGTTGGCGTTTGTGCCGCACTCTCCGTCTCCGAAGTCTCGCCGTTTGGTTGGCCGGAACTGACGACGAGTTCGCCGTCAGTGTCGACCTGAAGGAGCCGTTCGTGGAGTAAAGCCCTCTCCTCTTGCATCGCGCGACACAACTTCTTTAATGTAATGATCTTTTGTAAGGCCTTCAGGTGTTCGGTATCGCGCTTTTGTTTCTGTTTGCCATCGGATCGAGTGATTAGAAAGTGTATTCACATATCAATTGACAATTAGTGGTGACAAGTGATTCAATACATACCTCATCGGACAGTTTAAGTAGAGCCGTATTACTCGTTTCCCACCTTCCCTTCCAAAGGAGTGTCTCTTTTTCCAATCGCTTGATCTGTTTGGACATCCTTTCCATGTCTTTCTTAAAGCCGGCGAACATATCGTTACTTTTGGTCAAAACGGACTGAAACTCTTCGTATTTGCCGGTATATACGCCCAGTTCTGTGCGGAGTTTG